GGCGCTTGCTATCCGCAATGCGATGCAGGTTCCAGCTTTGCATGTTTGCGGGAAAGTGTATCACGTGTGGCCCAAAGGGTCGTCCCAGGATGAAGATGTGCACCGCTCCATCAGCGGAATGCAGGCAGCCTGTCAGTTGTTTCTGGACCGGCTTGACAGCGAGCTTCCAGGCAAGGACCTCCGCATGCAGCTCCACATCTTCGACTTGCGACGCTGGCAACGCTTGCAACACCTGGCGGACACAGACATCGACAAAACATCGCATTTAAAGTCTGTGAAGCTGTGGCTGAGCTTACTTAAGCTCAACGTCGCTCTGGGCCTGCAAGAGTATCGTGATGCAGCGTGCCTTTTTGTAATGGTACGCTTTTAGTTTTAAAATCAAGATTGTGTTTGTATATACCAAATGATGCTTTATCAATACCAACGGTGTGTTCTCATCAACCAGAATTCAATTACCAAAGACATTGTTTCTAATACCGACAAATGATAAGGTCTCACTTTTGCTTGGTTGGTGTGTATATGTATACTAAATTCAGTGTTTTCGATACCAAATGCGTCCATGACACATAAATTTAATGTATGTGACGAATTATGTTTGATTATTATTTCCAAAATTTGTATTTAATACTACCAATATTCTGGCACACTTTACTTAACGTGCCTAAGGTTTATGCTCTGCGAAAAATACAGGCAGGAATTGCGTGACGCCAGTCCGTCTGACATTTGCGACTGTCGGCCTATGTGGGCATGCGTCTTTCGCCACAACTGGAGCAACCTACAGCAGCTTGTGGGGTTTTATCTTTCCCTTGACTGTGGGTCGTGCGAATTAGAACGTAACCTGAGTCAAGTGCAACGCCTGTCGAAATCCCATGGTATTACAGACAATGCCGAGGATGTCGAACGTGCGCTGGAGCTTTTGCTTGACGGAGCCAAGCAGGAAAGTGAGCTTTTCGAGAGAAAGGTGCTCCAGACTTCCCCTGTTGCAATGGATTTGCCGCTCCTCATCGCGCCCGCCAAGCCACAACTTTTCTTGACAGATGCCTCCCGAGAACTTTGCCGTCTTTGGGTCCAATTTTACGGCAGGCGCTTTCACCTTTACAAGAAGCGAAGTGATTGTGGGAAAGTCAAAGGCCACCGGCCTGGCTCTGAGGCCTGCGTTCTGACTCAACAAATCCGAGCTCGCAACAAAATATGTGCAGGTGAAGGCGTCGACCGGGAGCTCCTGTCACGACCGCGAGTGAAGTTTGCGGCGAAGCCTGGCAAAAAGCTTGAGGACAGCGAGCTGTGGAACAAGCAAATGCAGAAGTTCTCGGAGCGAAGCGCGGAGATCAAGAAGCACCACTTGGGCGTCACACGTCGGTCAGGGCAAGGTCGGGAAGCTTATCCTCCAGGCCAGCTGTTGTTTTGAGTGAAAGTATTTTGCTTGTGCCACTGCCAGCAACGGTTGCAGTTTTAGTGGGTTTTTTATTGACAAATACGCGCACGTGCCCCCTTTCAGGAGACATCCGCACCGGCAAAATCTTTGACAAAAAGGTGTCTGACGGGGAGCTTGCTTTGCCAAC